GTCTGCACTTTTTCTTTATGTTCTAGACCATACAAGTCATTGTCTATATGACATCTTACTTGGATGTCTTAAGGTAATCTCAAGTTTAATTTATTTAAAAAAAAAGCAAATACTTATCTCCCTTCAGACTGGTCCTCTTCCAGGATTATCTATCTAGTAAATATTATAGCTATTCAGTTAAGCAAGTGAGAAAACTGGAAATCATCTGTCTCACTCACCTCCTTGCCAAATAGTAACCATCACTAAACATGGACATTCTGCCTTGCAAATGCTTTGAATCTGTCCACTTATTTGCATCCATGTTAATCTCTACTAGTCCCAGTTACCATAATTCACCTGGACAACTTAGATAGTTTGTTAATAGGCTTCCTCCCGTTCATTCCTATGTTGACCCACAGAAATCCAGATGCTAATGTGAGCATGCTTAAAGGACCCTTTCAAGTGGCTTCTCATTGCTCTTAGGGATTTCCCTGGTGGCTCAGACAGTATAGAATCTGCCTGCAATCGAACCCAGTTTCCATCCCTGGGTTGGGAAGATCCCCTGGGAAAGGAAATGGCAACCCACTCCAGTATTCTTGCCTGGAAAATCCTATGGACAAAGGAGCCTGATGGGCTACAATCCATGGGGTCACAAAGAACTGGACATGTCTGAGCGACTAACACACACATTGCTCTTAAGGACCAGAATCCTTGGAAAGGCTGTGCATGAGCTGGCCTGTCCATTCTTCTTTCAATCCACTCATAAATTTCCTCCTAGGCCTCTGTGAGATGACCAACTTTTTTTTTTTTAACTCTCAAGTTCTATTTTTTTTTTTGCTAATAAATTTTTTNGTTGACGTAACTCTTGCCTCTTACTGACGCTTTATGGGTTCATCCCTCCCATCACTGTCAGTTTGTGAGGATCAGGAAGTTTTCCCGTACCTTCGCCGAATCATTTATGAACATAGCATGCTATAAAAAAGTTATTTTCACATTTACATTTAAACCTTGATTTTTTTCTTCAAAAGACATTATTGTAATTTTTAATGAAAGAAATACAGGCTTAGTGTAAAAAAAAGTTTGAACACAGACATACATAAAATGGTAATCCCATAATCTCATTTACCAAAGACTGACATAACTTTTTATGTCCCATTTATCTAATTTTAGACTTGAAGAATGAATTAACATATGATTCTTTTTCTATAGAAATGTAGTTGACATACAATATTCTATTACTTCCAGGTATACTAAATCATGGTTTGACATTAGCATACATTATGAAATGACCACCAGGATAAGTCTGGTATCCATCTATCCCCATATAGTTACCACAATGTTATTACCTTCCCAGGGCTTATTTATCGTGTGGCTGGAGGTTCGTTCCTCATAATCCTCTTCACCTGTTTTCACCCACCCCCTCACCCTCCTGGCAGCCACTCTCTGTATTTGAGTCTGTTCTTGTTTCATTTTGCTTTTTAGGTTTCAGATGAGAGAGGTCCTTGGCATTTGTCTTTCTCTGATGTAGCTCTGGCGTATTTAACATAATATCCTCTAGATTTACCCGTGTTGTCACAATGACAAGGTTTCATTTTTTTATGGCTGAGTCCACTCTGTTCTGATTGGGGAACTTAGTCTATCTACATTCAAAGTTACCACTGATGGATCTATACGTACTGCCATTTTGTTCATTGTTTTGGGCCATTTCCATAGTTCTTTCTCGTTCCTTTTATCTTTTTTGCTGTCTTCCCTTGCCATGTGATGTCTATCTGTAGTGTTATGTTTGGATTCCTTTCCTTGTGTGTGTACCTATTAATAGGTTTTTGGTTTGTAGTCACCATAAGGTTCATATGTAACAGGCCCTGCCTCCTGTGGGGGCTGCTGCTCCACGGGTGGGCAGAGCTGGGCCCTGGGGCAGCTGCCTGTGGGACTGGCTTCGGGGACTGGCCTTGGCCTGTTGATGGGCAGTTGAGTGTCTGGTGCTGACAGTCTGGAGGGAGGACTCCAGAATAGCAGATGACATCACCAGTGTCAGCAGGCCCCCCAGAAGGCTCCGTCTAGTGCTTTTGTTCCCAGGGGGATTCCCAGTTGTCTCCTGCCTCTCTGGGAGGCTAAGATCAGCAAGTGGTTCTGACCCAGGCTTCTTAAAACTTGCTGCCTCTGCCTTGGGACTAAGAGCCTGTGAAATTTGAAAGCACAGTCTGTGTCTTGTAGCCCTTCAACTCTCCAGCAGGGCTTCCAACGTTGGAAGTTTTGGGGGCTCACTGTCCCAGTGTTGGACCCCCGGTTTGCAGAGCCTGATACAGGGTCGGATTCCTCACCCCTTTGGGGAGAACGTCTGCAACTGTGTTCGCCTCCCACTTGTGGGTCATCTGCCCGGGACTGTGGGTCTTGACCCACCTACTTGTCTCCTTGTGTTCCCATCTTTATATCTTGAGTTGTGAAGAAATCTTTTCTGCTAGGCTTCAGGGCCTTCTCATCAATGATTACTCTTACTAGCTGTAATTTTGCTGTGTTTATGGCAGGAGGTGAGTAAGAGGGCCTTCCTGCTCTGCCGTCTTGCCACATCGTGAGGAGGGAGGCTATGTGTTCTGCTTCTCTGATAGGGAAAGTCTCTCTGCTTATTTTCCATTTTCTTCACATCATCTTTTATATTTTATATACATATTGTTTAGTCCTCCAGAGTGTACATAAAATCAGTGTCAGTGTCCCCCAAATTTCTGAGAATGTTAATTGGATTTGTGCTGTTTGTGTACTGAATTTCTTTCATTTGTAAGAAAGAGTTGGCACTCAAATCTCAGTACTGTGGGAATTGTAAATACCATTTTTCCTCTGCTCTATCCCAAACAACACAGTAGTGGTAGCTAAGAGCTACTGGGAATTTATGAGCTGGCTCTCTTCAGTAGGGCAAAGTTAAAGTTTTAATTTATGATATGAATTATGTATAGGCTTTTTGAAAAGTGAAAAGAAATTTATACTTCTTCACATCCTTCCCTTGTTGAAAAGGAAATTTTAAAAGGAAACAGACACATTGGGAACAATCCTGGATATAGTAAGTATTAATAAATTGGAATGTATATCTGTGGTATGTAATGTAATTATTTTTCCCTTTCCTCTCCCCACTGGGTTTGTTCTTTCTGAGTCTGCTTTTTTCTATTATAGTCACTAGTTGGTTGTATGTTGTATGTATGTATTCCACATATAAGTGATATCACAGTTTTTATCTTTCTCTGTCTGACTTGCATTACTTGGTACAGTGTCCTCCAAGTCCATCCATCTCGTAGATAGCAACATTCCATTCTTTTTTTTGCAGAGTAGAATCCCATTGTATATACATACACTACATCTCTACCCATTCATCTGCTCATGAACACGTAGGTTGCTTCTGTATCTTGGCAATTGTAAATGATGCAGCTGTGAACACTGGGGTGCATGTATCTCTTCAGATTAGTTTTTTGGGGGTATGTATACCAAGAGGTGGAATTGCTGGGTCATACGGTAACTTTTACTTTTAGTCTTTTGAGAAACCTCCAAAGTGTTGGCTGTACCAATGTACATTCCCACTAAGAGTATATGAGGGCTCCCTTTTCTCCACATTCCCACCAACATTTGTTGTGTTCTTTTTGATGATAGCCATTCTGACAGGTACGAGTTGATAATCTCAATGTGGTTTAAAGGTGTATAAATTTTCAACCTGTTCGCTTGCAGGATGCCATGGCTTTTGGAGTTGTGGTTATGAAGGGTCAGAGCCAAGACCCTAAGTCAGTCCTCTGGTCACAATTCCGAAGCTTTCCTTAAAGTTTTGATGTAGTTTGGCTTGAAATCCTAGCAGCACTCCTGTTCTTGTTTGCTTTTGATATGGAAAGCTTCAAACATATACAGAAGTAGAATTTCATGAATTCCCATTTCCTCATCACTCAGCTTCAATAATCAAGTAATGGCCAATCCTACAACACCTATATCCCCTCCACCATTATTTTGAAGGTGATCTCAGACAGCATCTCTTATTAGTTAAAAGGCCTGTTTAAAAATAACTCATTATATCACAGCTAACAATTTAGTAATAATCCAGATAGCCAATCATTATTCATGTTTCCCCAAGAGCCCTTTTCTTTAAAAACATTTTTTTATTTGCAGTGGGATGCAAATAAACTCCATACGTTGTGGTCAGTTAACATATCTGTTCTATGGGTGCTCATTCCTGACCATGTCTTTTTATTTTTCTTTTAATGTATTATTTTCATTGAGGATATGAAGCTCAATTTGTCCTATAGTTTTCCACAATCTGGGTTTTGTTGATTGCCTTTCCAGTGTCAATTTGTTCTTCTGTCCCCTGTATTTACGATAAACTTAGATTGGGTCTTGATTCAGTACAGATTTGTTGTTGGGGTTGGGGAAGGCAAGACTACTTTTTAAGGAGTTGAGCATTTATTTATATTTGTATATTTATACCTTGAGAGGTATGCCATAGTAACACTTTGAATGGACCTTTATTTACCACTGATACTGAGTTCTAATTTTTCAAGAACAAAAAACAGGACCAAAGGTAATCTTTAATTAAAAAAAAAAAATCAGGGCATCTCAAGGGGAATTTTTGCTGCTGACAGTAATTAAAGTGATCTTGAACGCCAACAGTTATGTTTTGTAATAATGTGTGAATTTTTATTCTAAAACTGACAAGGGCAATATATTCAGAATTTTCACCTTGGAGTCGAACATTTTATTTCTGTTTTGTCATACGTTCACATGAGTTTGAAATAGTGTGATGGTACACATTGCTAAATCAAGGTGCTGGCTCTGTCAGTAGATAGTTCTGTCAATAAATCTGGAATTATCCCAAAGTGTGCTGAGAGCTTACTGATCAGATACAGTAAACAGATAATTTAAATGAGTCCCCCAACATCACATAAGACTTTAATACTTTGTGATACCTGAAAAGTCTGCTGGCAGATATCAAAGTACAACAGAACTGTAAACAGCTCATACATTTTAATTTTAATAAATGTGACTTTTACAGGGAAGCTATTCTTTGTCTCATGTTTATACACCACACGATGTCCGTACAGTGATTGAATATGCCCGATTACGAGGGATTCGCATCCTGCCAGAATTTGATAGCCCTGGACATACGGCGTCTTGGGGAAAAGGTAAGGAGTGTGCTTTATGAGTCACTAAAAGTGAACATGTGTGCTCCTGCATCTCATGACTTGGTGTTTGCTTATTTTGTTCTTACTTGTGATTCTGTTCTTACTTGCACAAAGGTAGCACTATTGATGGTTGTAATTCAATAATTATTATATGTCTATTGTGAGCAGGTCGCTGTATCTAGGCATTGCCTAAAGTATAAACACAAGGGATAAAAGAAAACAGGTAGAACGTGATATGTGAGTTAAAGAGTTACGTGAATGAAGTAACACCTAAAATGTCCTTGAGGCATCGGAGAATGCATTCTTGTTTCTGGTAGAGGGGACACGGGAAAGGCATTCAGCCGGAGGGCAGCGCGGGGGAGAGCAGTTTGCACTGTGCCATGTCGTGCTTAGCCTCCCAGTCGTGTCCGACTCTTTGCAACCCCGTGGACTGTCCCCGCCAGGCTCCTCTGCCTGTCAGGATTCTCCAGGCAAGAACACTGGAGTGGGTTGCCATGCTGTTTTCCAGCGGATCTTCCCAAGCCCGGATTGAACCCATGTCTTCCGTATTGCAAGCGAATTCCTTACCATTTGAGCAACCAGGGAAGCCCATGAATACAGGAGTGGGTAGCCTGTCCCTTCTCCAGGGGATCTTTCCCACCCAGGAATCAAACCGGGGTCTCCTGCATTGCAGGCGGATTCTTTACCACTGGGTGCCTAAGAACTGCTTCTGGAGCTAGGCTGCCTGGGATTCGAATCCTGCTTCTGGCACTTAGGCTTCCCTGGTGGCTCAGATGGTAAAGAATCTGCCTGCGATGCACGAGACCCAGGTTTTATCCCTGGGTTGTGAAGATCCCCTGGAGAAGGGCATGGCAACCCACTCCAGTATTCTTGCCTGCAGAATTCCATGGACAGAGAAGTCAGGCAGACTGTAGTCCATGGGTTGCAAATTGTGGAACATAGCTGAACGACTATCACTTTCACTTTTCTCTTTCTGGCATTTATAAACTGAGTGACCTTGGGCAAGTGATAGAACATCTCATTCTGAGACTTCCCATCTCTAAAATGGTGTATTAGTAGTAGCTATCATGTCATGTTTTTTGAAGTTTAAAAAATGAATATAAAGCACATAGCACTGCACCTAGCATTTATAATTGTTCAATAAGTATTGTTAGAATAGACATGGAGAATAGTGGGAAATGAGTCTGAAGAAGTAGCATGGTAGGCCTGGGGGAGGAGCCTGTGCTTCGTCAGGACACATGGAAGCCAGTGAAAGCTGCAGGGCAGAAGAGAGACATGGCGGGGCCACAGTGCAGGGAGCCCCACGTGAAGGCGACAGGTTGGAAGTGAGGTCCGAGAGCGGAATGCTGATAACAGGGACGGCAAGTAATGTCGAACTGAGAGACATTCTGGAAATACAGTCCATGGAACTTGGCGACTGGCTGACTCCAGCAGGAGGGGACAAGAGACTCCGTGGGATGGGGGCTCACAGACCAGAGGGGAAAATTGGGAAGCTGCAGAAGGAGTTTGGGGCAGAGACTTTGGTTTCTGCTGGATTGTATTTTTTTTTAAATTTTATTTATTTGGGCTGTGCTGGGTCTCTGTGCTGCGCAGGCTTTCCCCTGGTTGCAGAAGGCGGGGGCTCCTCTGCTCCTGGCAGGCGGGCTCGGGAGTCGTGGCGCACGGGCCTACTTGCTCCGCATACGGGATCTTCCCAGACCAGGGATCCAACCTGTGTCTCCTGCGTTGGCAGGCAGATTCTCTTCCTCTGACCCACCAAGGAAGCCCTGTTGGAGTATATTTGAAGTGAAGCTAATTGTGTTCAGCAGGGAATTTGAAATACAGTTTGAAACTTGAGGAAAAGGCTTGGGGCAAGCTGAAGATTTGGGAGCCCTTAATATTTGAGATAGTATCTGAAATGGATAAAATCTCAGAGAGGCTGATGGAAATGGAAAGAAAGCGGGACAGGGGCAGTATTCAGAAATTAATTCTCCTTTTTCTTATCTGAAGAAATTACCAAAGTAACTCTTAGTAAACTCGCTTATCTTTTTCTGTATAAAATCTCTTACATATATCTTCAACAAAATAAAGTAGTGTAATCACGTGCAAAGTCTTGTCTTTGTGATGAACTACTACTTCAGCAAAGATTCTCCGTGTTTCCTTCTAGGCCAGAAGGACGTCCTGACTCCATGTTACCATGCCAGAGAGCCGTCTGGGACCTTTGGACCCATAAACCCGATTTTGAATTCAACTTACAGCTTCCTGTCTCAGCTTTTCAAGGAAATTAGTACTGTGTTTCCAGATGAGTTCATTCATCTTGGAGGAGATGAAGTAAATTTTGGTTGTTGGTATGAAAATCTGTTAACTGCCCCCCCGCCCCTTTCTAAAACCTGTTATCTTTGAAGTAGGTGTAGAGGTGTCCCTGGGAAAAGGGAAGAGTTGGGGGAACATCTCTGTGAGGTGTTAACCTGGCACCACAACTCCTAAGATGGCGAACTGTTTACAGAATGTGCATATGGGTGCTATTGACAGAAGCCTGTAGGAAAGAGAATTAAGATGCAGAAGAAAATGAGAATTAAAAAAAAAAAAAACTAGAGAACAAGAATAGCTTTAGTGAAGAGGGTAATGATTAAGTGGGAGAGATTTTTCTAGTGAAAGTCTTCTGTTCAAATAGCCTGAGATGGAAGAAAGAAGAAGGCCATTATTACAGGATATCAGCTTCTAAAAAAATTAATTGCAATGGAAAGTTAACATAACTCATAATTAAATTTTAGACTTATTTTAGGTGTAGTTAGGCTTACTTTAGGCATAATTAGGCTTATTTTAGGTTTCATTTAGTCATAACTAGGCTTATTTTACTCTTTACAAACTTTAATAGATTTCCATCTGTATAAATGATGTTGGGGTTATATGTTGCTTTAAAAAGATTGGGCATATTGAACTTCTAATGAAATTTTTATCGACTGTTTTTGTTTAAGGGAGTCCAATCTAGCAGTCCAGCATTTCATGAGGAACAAAGGCTTTGGCAAAAAAATTGAGAAACTGGAATCTTTCTATATGCAGAGGTAAGTTACTTGAAAGCCTACTTCTTTTTATTTCATCAGTGCCTTTTGTAAAAGTTTAACTCTTATTTAGTACTATTTTATTTTCTCATTTTCTCTCCATTCCTTTTCAAAGTGTACATGTTATAATCTTTGTTACACAAAGTACAGATAAAAATCACAAAGGAGGGTGCAATACCCATTATTCTCTCTAAATCAGTAACATGGTGACTCTAATCCTTCTGCAGTAACTGTTGAGACCTAGGGTGGTAATGGTTACCTGTTCTGTGAGCTCAGCTGAAAACCCAGGCTACCCTGTGAAGGCTTTGTCACCGTCTAGCTCCTGGAATTCATTTTGTCAACTCCAGCACTGCTTTTACTTTATACCTGTGCTATCTGGTATGGCAGCCACAACCACATGTGGCTGTTTGTATTTAAATTGTACTTGAAGAAAATTAAAAACTCAGTTCCTCAGTCACATTAGCCACATTTCACATGTTCCGCAGCCAACAGCTAGATGTGACTCGTGCTACCATATTGGAAAGTGCACATGTAGAACATTTCCATCCCTGCAGATAAAGATCTACTCGACAGTGCTGCCCTTTGGTAAAGAGTAGTAAACTTACTTTGTAAAGAGCCGGACAGTAAGTGTTGGCGACTTCACGGGGCACATGTGGTTTCATGGGCGTCCCCGATGGCTCAGCGGTGAAGAATCTGCCTGCAGTGCATGAGATGTGGGTTCGGGAAGATCCCCTGGAAGAGGAAATCATAACCTACTCGAGTATTCTTGCCTGGAAAATCCCATGGACAGAGGAACATGGTGGGCTACAGTCCATGGGGTCACAAAGAGTTGGACACAACTGAGTATGCATGCATAGGTTACATACTTTTAAAATATTTTTAAGCTCTGTTTTACCAATATAAAAAGGGGCTTCCCTTGTGGCTCAGCTCATATAGAATCTGCCTGCAATGTGGGAGACCTGGGTTCGATCCCTGGATTGGGAATATCCCCTGGAGAAGGGAAAGGCTACCCACTTCAGTATTCTGGCCTGGAGAATTCCATGGACTGTATAGTTCATGGGGTCACAGACAGTTGGACACGGAAGCAGCTTCGCATGCACATACTGAAAGGCATCTGTCAGTGTTGCAGTCTTTGGTATAAAATGTGCATTCTTTACACACATTGCTAACTTTGTGATCTGAAATAATTAGAACATTTCCATCCCTGCAGATAAAGATCTACTCGACAGTGCTGCCCTTTGGTAAAGAGTAGTAAACTTACTTTGTAAAGAGCCGGACAGTAAGTGTTGGCGACTTCACGGGGCACATGTGGTTTCATGGGCGTCCCCGATGGCTCAGCGGTGAAGAATCTGCCTGCAGTGCATGAGATGTGGGTTCGGGAAGATCCCCTGGAAGAGGAAATCATAACCTACTCGAGTATTCTTGCCTGGAAAATCCCATGGACAGAGGAACATGGTGGGCTACAGTCCATGGGGTCACAAAGAGTTGGACACAACTGAGTATGCGTGCATAGGTTACATACTTTTTAAATATTTTTATGCTCTGTTTTACCAATATAAAAAGGGGCTTCCCTTGTGGCTCAGCTCATATAGAATCTGCCTGCAATGTGGGAGACCTGGGTTCGATCCCTGGATTGGGAATATCCCCTGGAGAAGGGAAAGGCTACCCACTTCAGTATTCTGGCCTGGAGAATTCCATGGACTGTATAGTTCATGGGGTCACAGACAGTTGGACACGGAAGCAGCTTCGCATGCACATACTGAAAGGCATCTGTCAGTGTTGCAGTCTTTGGTATAAAATGTGCATTCTTTACACACATTGCTAACTTTGTGATCTGAAATAACTGTAATTTTTTTCAATGGTAGGGTTTTGGATATGATTTCAGCCATGAACAAGAGATCCATAGTCTGGCAAGAGGTTTATGATGATGAAGTCAAGGTGAGAGGTTACTAATACTGCGTGTGGTTTTGATAATATGAGACTTAATACTCTAACACCTTGGATGGAAGGAACTCTAAGCTTTCCCTGTAATGTTGGGGGAAGTCAGCTTACCTTTTGGTTTAACCTGCTGTTAGACAATGACACCGCACACTGACACCAATGATCATGGCATTTATTTGATTTCTTCCATTTACTTCACTCTTCAGTGCTGCCTCCTCATCTCTCCCATCTTCCCTCCTCCCTCTCCATCTCATTCTTAGTAACAAATTGAAGTACTTTGAAAAATGTTCCGTTTTTCAGAAGGGCAGAACAAACAGATAAGAATGAGTCTTTATTGCTGTTAAGGTAACCTTCGTTTTAAGTATTGCTGTCAAGTACACTTTTTATTTTAAATAGCATTTTCGCTGACATAATCAGAATTCTTTATATTCCTTTGGGGCAACTGAAAATTTGAAAGTCCAGCTACTTGTATTATCTTTCCAGAAGGGTTAGTGGCATCCTCTAAGTTCCAAAGTAAGTAAAATAATGTGGTAGAAATGAGACTAAAGCCTTAATTTATTACACCTACATGGTATTGTATATAGACAAAAGGTAACAAATTAAAAGGTTTGATGAAATGTCTAAGTCCTTATTACAAATAGCATTAGATATTACCTCAAAGAGGAAAGGGGAAAGAAGAAAGCATTGCTTTATTCAAGGATCATGAAAGTTATTAGCTACAAATGCCTTAGACTTTTAATATCATCTGCTGTAGCTGCAAGACCTAATACATATTTTATTTTTAACTTTAATAGCTTACACAAGGCACAGTAGTTCAAATATGGAAAATGGGAAACCTTCGTATGAAACTAAGTAAAGTTACAGCAGCTGGCTTCCCTGTGATCATTTCTGCTCCTTGGTACTTAGATGTGATCAGTTACGGACAAGACTGGAGACATTACTACTCTGTGGAGCCTCTTAACTTTAAGGGTAAGTGAAGCAGCGACCCTACTGGACATGTTAGGTTTCTCAACCCCTCCCCTCCCTCCGGGAATCTTTACCTAGGTACCACGTATTATCCTCCCGTTTATGTTTGATCCTTGATTTTCCTTGTGTATAATCCAACAGACTGAACTCAGTATCATTTTAAACTTCGTGAAAGAAACTGTATTCTTTCCTAATGAAAGAACTTCAAGAGTAAGATTCCCTTACACTGACACGACTTGTCACCATGCATTTAAAGATGCCTACAGCAGGAGCCTTGTCTCTCCTCTGAGCTTCCTCTGCGATGTCAGACACCTAAGTAGGGATCGCGTCCTGTTCGGTGGCTTCCGGGTTCTGAGGAGGCGGCATCCTTGGGGACGGGCATGTCTGAGTGGTGGGGCTCCAGGCTCTCAAACCCCCTTAAGAACAGTTCTGCTTTGTCCAGTTTTGTACACTAGAGTTTTACAATTTCCTTTGAGGAAAAGTGTTTAAAAAGTATCAAAACTGTAGGCCTATCAAGAACTGTTTCTCTAAAAGCATTTTCTGAGAATCAAGAGGTGGTAATTACTGTAGACACCTAGCTTCTTTGATACCAAAAGATAGGTGCTGAAGGCAGGAGTGACCGTCACCAGCAGAGTCCACCTTGCATTCCTTGGCACACTGTCTGCAGGCCACCAGGGGAAGTGCTTCTGGTGTCCAAATAAGTTTGCAGAAAACCAAAATAAAATGGTCTCTTTACTACTGGCCTGCTACATTAGTCGACACACGCTAACAAATACTCTGTGAACCACGGGGTCAGTTGAGGCAATAAAGTTTCCCACCATCTTTTGTGCCACAGCTGTGAACTTCTCCCAAGGTCCTCCTGACTCCGAGAGAAACCTTGCCCCAGGCTAACACTGGAAATCAGCACCGCCTCTGTCTGTGAGCCTCAAGTTGCACCTACCTAACTTACCTGGTGGCTCAGAGGTTAAAGTGTCTGCCTGCAATGTGGGAGACCTGGGTTCGATCCCTGGGTTGGGAAGATCCCCTGGAGAAGGAAATGGCAACTCACTCCAGTATTCTTGCCTGGAGAATCCCATGGAGGGAGGAGCCTGGTAGGCTACAGTCCACGGGGTCACAAAGAGTCGGACACGACTGAGCGACTTCACTTTCACTTTTCACTTTTAACTTACACCACTGATTGTAATCTAGGTACTTGGGAACAGAAACAGCTTGTCATTGGTGGAGAAGCCTGCCTGTGGGGAGAGTATGTGGATGCAACTAACCTTACTCCAAGATTATGGTATGGAATCTAAGGAAGAACATATGAATTAAGGTGCCTGAGTTTCTCTTCTCCACCCAAGCTGGAAAGCACTAGAAACTTGCCCAAGTGTGTGGTTTGCTTCTTGAAGAAAACATGAATTTAAACTGCCTTGGGGGGTATGTGGTTTAAATTTTAGGCCTCGGGCGAGTGCTGTTGGTGAGAGACTCTGGAGTCACCAAGAAGTCACAGACCTAGATGATGCCTACAGGAGACTAACAAGACACCGCTGCAGAATGGTCAAGTGAGACACATTTGTCAGGCTAGGGTGCTGTTAAGTACAGGGTGACTTTTTGCCTTATTTAGTGTGAGCTAGCTTATTGGGATTTTTTCTTTTTGCTATACAGAAATGTATGTGACTTAAGAGGTAGTGATCTAATTAGGAAAAATTGGCAACTGTTTCTCTATGAATTATGAATCTCTCCTCAGTAATTTGTGGTATGGTTTAGTGATTGTGACTTGAGTTACTAAGTTTCTTAAGACAGAGATGAATTACATCAGTCTAAAACATCTTTTGTTTATACTTGTCCTACAGACGAGGAATAGCTGCACAACCTCTCTTTACTGGCTATTGTGACCATGAGGGCAGAATGTAAAAACGAGCTGAAACAGAAGAAAATATGGGAAAAGAGCCCACAGTCAATCCTTACTACAATCAACCTGATTTTAAAAATCATGTTTTTGAATAAAATATCTTTTTATTGATTGAACCTCCATCTTATTATACATTAGAAGACTGACATCTTTCTTGTGAGAGAAGCGTAAAATCAACCAACCAAAAACCTGGTGATATCTATCACTCAGTGTATTCCAAAAGACTGAATCTAAACTGCCAACAGTAATAATTTCCTAGATACATAATACAGTTCAGGTACATTAACCTTCAGCGTCACAGCACGTTTCTCATGCTATAAAGTAGAATGACCAGCACCACTGCCACTGTCTGTCCAAGTTCTCCCTTAAATTGTTCTTACTGAAAACGAAGTAGGTAGGTGCTCCTGAGTTTCTCTCCAAGGACTTAGGACAAGCCATTTCTCTGGCTGAGCAGCGTACTTTGGTCCTGAGGATTCATGGCTTGATAATTAGACAGCTCTAAGGAAAAAGTAGCTGAGCCTGATGTTAACGTTCGAAGCACAGTTGAATAACCCTAATCAAAATAACTTAAGTTAGTTATCTCTGCAAAGTTAAGCCTCAAATCTCTCCCTGCACATCTTTTGACCATTACCAGGAAAAGCTTGCTAAGCACTGTGAGGACAGGAAACCGGGAGTGGGGGTTTGCTTCAGAAGTATTCCCTAGCCCCAACGTCTGGCAGAGGCTCTGCTGACGCTCAGATGCCCGTCCTAGAGCAGGAGAGCCTGGCGGGGAAAAGAGTGGCAGGAAGAACTGGCTGGGGGCAGCAATAGTAGGCGTAAATAAGTGCTCAGGATGGAGAAAGGGTCACTTAGGCTGATGACACATTTTGGTAGAGCCCACCTCAAACTTTGTGCAGGGTTGGGAAGCCCTCCCCACACATCCACACCCGTGCTGATACGATCCCTGAGATTTCTCCAGCAATTTATGTAAAATATGTACATTTAGTCTCAGAGCACCTACCATGATTTCTGCTAAGGGAACAAATCCAATAACAACGTTGCTGTCTTGGCGAGACTGGATTTCCTGAATGTTCCCTCTTCTCTGTGCCAGGTCTGCTAGGACAAGGCTGAGGTAATCTCTTGTCACCGTCACCTCAAGATTCATCAGGGGCTCCAGAATTTGCTTTTCAGCTTTCTTCAGAGCCTAAAGGAATTAAAGGATGTTAACTCCTCTTCCTCAGACGGCAGATCAGACTTCTGTTATGAAGGGAAGCTTCATAAAAACTTAAATACTGTCCATACTCTTAAGCACAGAGCCTCCAGCAAAAAGACAGAAGCCTGCCTTAACACTCTTTCTAAGAAGTCCAAAACGTCAACGTTTGCGCGCACATGCACGCCAACAGTGTACCTGAGACCTCATGTAGGGTTTGGTCCTACCTTCATGTATGTGTTGCAAGAGGATGCTTGGTGAAGTCTGATGAGGCAGAATGCCTGTGAACATGTGCCCAGAGACACGGGGGAGAGAAAGTGGTGTTCCCCTCTCAAAGACATATTTCCTTCATACATCTCCTCTTTAATTTTTGAAACCTATAGTTACAGTCCATGCTGCAAGTCAGGACAATCAAGGAGGGAAATGAAGGAGAGAGGTAAAAAACAGTAAGCAGAAACATATTCTCAGTGTAAAACAAAGAGAATTCTGTTCAGAAGTTTAGATTTCAAAGGCCAAGAAGAACAAGCAGATACAGATACTGAAAAAAGCTAAAGCAGCATCAGGTAAATAGGAAGTGGACAAAAACTGGGGAAGCAGCAGAGGAATAACACATATTGGGGTCCTAGTCAGATCTTGTCTGCATAGCAGCATTCCATCAGCCAAACTGGTACATGGATTTGGAGGCCGTTTGCAAGCACTGTAACTACTGATGAGTCTGCTTTAATAGGTAACCTACTTCTCCAGCCTACCAGAGTTAAAACACAATAAAACAATTTCCCATATATTCTAAGCCTGTTTGGTTGTCCAGTGGGATATAATCATCTTGGATTTAGCAGTGGAAGCCAGATCAAAGAGCAAGGCTCTGAAATGTGGCCTCTCCTTTATCTGCCTCTGGCTGATCATCCTCTCTCTGCTCGCCTGCCCCCACTCACTCAGGACCAGCGGTACCACCGCCTCTATTGTCCAGTAATGCTCTGCGCCTCCTCCTTCCCCTCCCCCTCCTACCTTCACGATCATGAAAAATGGGCAGATTCGTAAAAACATCAGTATATTCTCTTTATTGTAGACATTTCAGAAAATCATAGCACACACATATATATAGTAAAAGCATAATTTCAGTTCTTTGCAGCTGATTAAGACTTTAAAATCACTACCAACTGAAATGACTCAATTAGCAAAAAAGTATCTAATAATCCTTGAATGAAAACATTACAAAAAATAATGACACACAAACAACTAAACATATCCCGTGTATTTTTGCAATTTTTACCCAAAGTTTCGTGCCACTTCACAGTGTATCTTTTTGAATAGCATATCGGAGTGGGAAAAGGCTAAAAATTAAGAGGAGTAATGCCGCATCTAAGGAAAGGTCAGAGTTCTGTGTGACTGAACAGGAGGTATTGTGCTGGTGGGTCTGTCCTTAGTCCTCTTGTCACAGCGTTTTCCTTGGCGACCCTGCGTAGTTATAGAGCGTCAAAAACAGCTTCTACAGAGCTTCCTCAGAAACGCCAAGCTGTACGCAAGTCACAGTCTCTGGGTGCTCCTTGTAACTCACTGGCTGCTCTGGGCTGATGTCTGAGTATCCTGCAGCAACCCAGGACACCCAACACTGATCTCACCGCTTCCTCCCAAACGCCTGCCTGCTTGTTCCTCTTTCTGTTGGCGGCAGCGTCACTAGTCATCAGGTTACCCGGACGTGCATCTGATTTCCTGTTTCCCCAACGTGAGCTGTGAGATTTATATTCCTATTGCTGATACTCTAGCTCAGATCTGGTCTAATCCCTGAGGCTCTCCAGACTCCAGTCCCTCCTATATTCTAATGATTATGCTGCTCTCTTCAAAATGTTTAAATCATTTACCACAGTTCTCAAAACAAATCTCAAATTTCTCAGTGTAGTTTCTTACAGGTTTCCCTACAGTCGGACTCTATTTTACTTTTCCAACCCTAATTTCATTACTCCCCTGCCTTCTTTAATCTTTCCGTGTCTAGAATGCTGCCACTGTACCCATATCCTCCAAAACATCACAGCTCAACAATTAAGGAAAATGTGTAAAAGCCCCTGTGTCCTTGTCTTTTGAAGTAAAATGCTCAAGAGTTACTGATTGGGAAATGTGAAGATGAAGAAACAAGGATAGCTGTTGGGCTAGGGAACTGGTAACAATTTAGACTGTAATTCTGTCACAAAGCAGAATTACCAAACTCACAGTTCCCTTAAAGATATAAAGGACTGACATACACTCCTAAATTCCTTTTACAGGAAGCAGACCCCTCCCGATGAAAACTGCTAACCACAAGAGCATAGACCATAGACTGGTTGAAACAGCCTGCTCCTGAAACACTATAGTGGGTCACAGTCTTGGGGTCATTGGCTCACCAGGGCCCCCTTGCCTGGCAAAGCAATAAAAGCTACTCTTTCCTGTTTCACCGAAAACTCTTGTCTCCACGTCTCTGTTCAGCACCTGTGAACAGAGGCTGAATTTTAGCAACATTAACTTCTTTCCAAAGTCGAAAAGAGGGGTCGCAAAGAGTTGCCCGTGACTGAACGACTGAACAACCATTGGGCAAGTTTTAGGTGTGTAACCGTGGAACCATCACAACCATCAGGATAATGAAACATGTCATATCCATCACCCCTGAATGTTCCTTCCTGCCCTTCTGTAACCCCTTCCCCGACCCCTGCCCTCTCTAACCTCACCCCCTCCCTCCTTTCCACCTGTCCAGACAAACTGCTCATCTGCTTTTGTCATCAAAGATTAGTTTGCATTCTCTAAAAATTTTAGAAATCATTCAGTATGTTTTCTTCTTTGAGCCTCTTTTTTTAATCGGCATAGTTAAGATTCATACATGTTGTAGTACTGCTACCAAACCAAACTTGGGTTCACTTGCCCTGGCACAGTAAAACCACCCTAGTGACGCACAGGATTGTGGAGAGGGAGAATACAGTGTTTATGGCCGGGCACCACACAAGGAGTTCAGCACAGCTGGTCCTCAGGAAGCCTGAGTGCCCTGAAGGGTTTCAGCAAAGAAGTTTTAAAGGCGAGGTGAGGGAGGTCTCAGGACATGTGATCAGCTTGTGCACTGCCCTCTGCTTGGTTGAGGGTGAGCTCACAGAGCAGTGTCAGCGGGTTAGCAACATCGATCCTCAGGCTCCAGCAGGCCTGCGGGTTGTGGGCTCACGGTCGTTACGGAGTCAGCGTCTCCCATTTGGCGGGGGTTTTCGTACCTGTAAAACAACTCAGGTATCATGTACTATTATCTAGGCACTTCAGCAGAGCACCTGGTGGGTCTGTCCCAGGGCCCAGGTTCTGCTCCATTTCAGTCTATGCGCACTCTGCTCACAGCAGTAGCCTCCTGGGGGCTCAGAGAAGCTATCTTTCCCCCTTTTTTATTTACTTATTTAATTTTTATTTTTGGCTGTGTCATTTTATTTTTTAATATTTACATATTAAATTTTTATTTTGGCTGTCAGGTCTCAGCTGCATCATGAGCGATCTTTGTTGCCCCGAATGGGCTTAGTTGCCCCGTGGCATGTGGGATCTTCATTTGTCAACCAGGAATTGAACCGAGTTCCCTGCATTGGAAGGCAGATCACTGGACCATCAGGGAAGTTCCACTATCGTTTTAAAAACCCTCACTTAACCAGTTGCTTTACAAATAGCATCTCAAATCCTTATAATAGCCTTGTTGTTGTTTGTTGTTCAGTCCCTGAGTTGTGTCTGACTCTTTGGGACCCTATGGACTGCAGCACACCAGGCTTCCCTGTCTTTCACTATCTCCTGGAGTTTTCTCAAACTCATGTCCATTGAGTTAGTGATGCCATCCAACCATCTTCTCATCTGTCACCCCCCTCTCCTCATGCTCTCAATCTTTTTCAGCATCAGGGTTTTTTCCAGTGAGTTGACTCTTCACCATCAGGTGGCTAAAGT